AATCAAATATGCACTTTTATTCATTTACAATAAACTCATAAAGTACATCATTCTGATTGAAGCTAAGGGCATACAAAACTGTCTAACACTTTGATCAGTACCGAACTAAATACTTCGTCACTCGCGGAGAGATATAGTTTCAACTCATCCCCTTCTTTGGGTCGAGATAACACCGGTGCGGTACTTAGGTACATTTTCAACTCGTCAAAAGCAAGCTGGCACTCTTCGGTCCATTCGAAATTCTTGCTCTTTTTTATTGCTTTAAAAAAGGGAAGAAATCGGCCCGCCGATTTAGACATGAAGTAGCTTAGGGCTGCTAACTGGCTAGTCAGCCTCTGGAGTTCTTTTATTTTCCAAGGTGGTCTCATATCTAGGATTGCCTTTATTTTTTCTGGGTTGGCTTCGATGCCACGTCAGTTGACTATGTAGCCTAGGAATTTACCCGAAGTGATTCCGAAGACACACTTATTCGGATTTAATTTCATATTATATCTTCTTAAAATTTGAAAAACATCATTTAAATCAATTAACAAAGAGTTCAAAAATTGGGTATTCACGACCATGTCATCAACATAACATTCTACTTAATTGTCGATCAACGGCTCAAAAACTTTATTTACAAAGCGTCGGAATGTTGCCCCAACGTTTTTCAATCCAAAGGGCATAACCTTATAATAGTATATCCCGAGCTCAGTTACAAATGCGGTCTTGTCCTCGTCAGCAGGATCCATCCTAATCTGCATGTAACCGGAATAGGCGTCCAAAAAAATTAGTAACTTGTGCCCTGAGGTCGCGTCCACTAGGCGATTAATCTTGGGCAGTGGGAAGCAGTCTTTCGGGCAAGCTCTGTTCAGGTCAGTGTAGTTGACGCACATGCACCACTTGCCGTTGGTCTTCTTCACCAGAACCGAGTTGGCCACCCAACTCGAGTAATGGACTTCCCTGATGAAATATGCCGCAAGGAGCTTCCCGACATCCTCATCGACTACCCTCCATCGTCCGGGGTGAAGTTGCGTTTCTTTTGTCTTACTAACCTAATTAAAGGGTCGGCATTAAGCTTGTGAGTTATTATTTTTGGGTCAATCCCAGGCATTTCTGTCGTGGACCAAGCAAAAATATCTAAATTTTTAAGTAAAAAACTTACTAGTTGAGTTCGAAGTGGCTCGCTGGTTGAGGCACCGATCTGAAGAGTTATGGTCAGTTCGGTGTCAGATACTGGTATGTGGACCGTTTCTTCTGTCGGGGCAGCTCACTCTTCGGTGTACTCTACTAATTGCTCGATCTCGACGTCTTCTGCTAGCTTTGCTTTTCCTTTCAGAGCGGTCACGTAACATTTACGGGATTCGAGCTGGTCACATTTACGGGATTTGAGCTGGTCACATTCACAGGATTTGAGCTGGTCAGTTGGGAACTTCATCGCTAAGTAGTAAGTGGACACTATCGCACGTAAAACATGTGTGATAGGTCGACCTACTATCGCATTGTATAGGGACGGAGTCGTGACCACCAAGAATGTGTACTCAAATCGTACAATGTTCGGCCACGTGCTTGCCTCCACGGGTACTGTGACTTGACCAAGAGGTCTGACCTCTTCGCCGCTGAGCCCTACTAAGGGTGTATTTTCCGACTTCAGGTCGCTCTACTGCAACTACAATTTGTCGAAGACCTTGAAGAGTATGTCTGTTGAGCTGCCTGAGTCCACTAAAATGCATTTCACCTCGAAGTCGTTGATCCTTAGCTTCACTACTAAAGCATCATCATGCGGGTATTGGATCCTGCGCGCGTCGTCCTCAGTGAAGTAGATAAGTCCTTCGAGCCGATGTCACTTTGGCGGGTTTTCGCCTTCATTCTCCAATTTGCGGACCGAAGTCCTCCCAGCTTCTAATGTACATTCCGCGATGATGGACCTGTTGGTGATCATATTGATCACTCCGCGAACTAGCCTCTCCTCTGGTAACTACCGAGGTGGCTGCTCATTCTGCCTGCTAGTCTCAGGGGCATTCCTCCTCTGGTCCCCCTGACGATCCCCCTGTTGGTCTGCCTGCCCTCTCTCCTCTCGCAGGACGTAATTCTTCAAGTACCCGCGGCGGATAAGCTCTTCGATCTCGTCACGGAGATTCCTATAATTTTTCGTGTTATGTCCATGATCTCGGTGGAAATGGCAGTAGACATTCGGATTTCTTGTTCCCGGGTCTCCTCTTAGCTTGGGCAGCCATCTAACAAAGGAGGAGTCCTTAATGGCCATTAAGATCTCTCATCGCTTAGCATTCAAAGGTGTGTAGTTCGTTCTCTCTACTGGAAGAGTCCTGGAATGCCGACCAGACTTGTGACCGTGCGAGGGGAACCTACTTCTTGACTAGCTTCTTCCCCTGCTCGGGGGCTTACTCTTCTTTCTTTTCTGCTCACTGTTGTTCGTCCCTTCATTCTCTCTCTTCCTCTTTTCAGCCGATGGATTATCAGTCTTCTGATTAATTTCCTCCTCGGTACCGATGAACTGGTCTGCCAATTTAAGAAATTTGGTGATATCTTTTGGTTTGTTGGCTACCACATGCCACTTGAACTCTCTGTGGGTGATTCCCTTATTTGCTGCTATGAGACGCACCGCTGGATCAAGGTCTGGTATCTGCAGGCAAGTATCGTTGAAATGCGCAATGAACAGCTCGGCAAACTGTGCCCAACTCTTGATGAAGCCCGATGCGAGGTTCATATACCAGGTCCGAACTACCCTCCTGAATGTGGGGGAGAAGGCCACACACACGTAGGTTTCGTCGGCCCCGGCTAGGTGCATCCGAAACTGGAAAGAATCCACGTGATCATTGGGGTCGAATGACCCGTCATACTTGTCCAGTGGTGGAACATTGAAATCTTTCAACATTGGGGTTGCTAGGAGCTCGGGAGATAGAGGAGATGACCAGCTAAGCAAGGGAGGCACAGTCTTCATTGCCACCGAGCTCACTTTTTCCCTTTCTTTAACTCGCTCTGCTTGTTGGCTTGGCTTCGCTGGCAAATTATTTCTAGCCGAGGAGCGACGAGTTTTGCGGTGTCGCCGTTGTTGCTTCTTCACTGGCTCGGCGTTGGTGCTGTTAACCTCAGTCTGGTCTGGTATCTCGACATTGTCACGAACACTGTCACAAGGTGGGTCTTGGTTCCTTCTTGCCGAGTTCTCCTCGTTGTGGAGTTCGCACCGACTATCACGAGGCACGGAAGGGACTGGCCTCAAGTTCGCGCCTCTGGCTCCGGGCTGGTTGTTATCTCCCCGCTATCCATTGTTCTCCTGCTGGGAGTGCCGCAGCGGGTTGGCCCTGTTGAGCTAGCTATCCTCAGGCCTATTTCTAAGGTTTCCTTGTGATACTAGGGGAGTGTGTTCATCGTCCCTCCTCCCATGAGGTGGAGTTTGACCCCTAGGAGGGGCGGGCACCTGCGAGGTCCCCTCACCCCGCTAGGGGGATTGGCAGACGTTCTGGTTGGTTTCGGGCCGGTTCTGGTTCTGGCCCTGGTGCAACCCTAGGTGTCGGGGTGGAATCGGCTGTATTGATGGGAACTGCTGCTAATACTACTGGTACAGGTAGTACTGTTGATATTGTTGAAACTATTGGACCTGTTGCATATGGATCTATATCATTCGGACGCATTGAACAAGGTCATAAATTGGGAGTGCTCGACTCCATGGGGGACCACAGATGGCTCAGAGAAAGTCACGCCCACTAGGGGGAGCGGGACGCTCACTTGCATGGTGCCCTGTGGTACAAATAGTGACAGGACCCCTAAAGCTGTAAGGGGAATTGTAAACTGTCTAATACATACCGTGGGGCCTTGGGGGAAGGTTGATCACTGATCTTGCTCTCCGGTGACATTCAACTCGATGCTTTTCCTAGTGTTTCTGGAAGAATCCATTGAGGTTTGAGCGAAAATCATAACTGCAACTGGGATCGGGATGGCCTTTTGATCATTTCCCACAGACGACGCCAATTAATGATGCGTGATCTGGAAGCTCCTAGCTGGAAAACTGCCTGGATGTACTCGCGTGGCGAGCTGGATCAATATGCAAAACAGTGCTTAGAAGGACCAGGGTGGAAGACCCGATGAGGTCACTCCAATGCTTAAGTCAGTATTCTGTGTGTTTGCAAGTTAAGTATGAATGCTAGAGAGTTTAAATGTGAGTACTCGCGCGTACCTTCGCCTTGAGGATCGATGCCCTTATATAGTTAAATAGCCGTGAACCTTACGAAAAGGCTTCGAGATCCCCGGGCTGCATAGATAAAATCCATTCCGTTTCCGAAGGAGAGCAATGCGCCAATTGGTAAGGTTTATCAGTTTCCTTCGATTCGAATGGGGTGAGGATGAGCTCTGTTACTAGACGTGGCGCTTTGGTTCTTTGGTCCCGAACTGGCACATCGATTCTTTGGCTCTGAACTGGCACTTCAGTCCTTTGGCCCCAAACTGAATTAAGTGCCAAGGTATTCAAGGTCCTGAACTCCTGAACTGTTGGCAAGACTCCCTTGCTGAATTGTCACCCTACTGGCTGATCACATCCACGTGTACCTCAATCGCTAGGTCAAGCCAAATTACCCCTCATCTAATTGCATTGTTGAGTAAAAAATCTTGGCTTTTATGTGAGGGTCGGATTCTGGATCAAGATCTACGCCCAATAATTGGTCTAGGCTTTGGCTCAGGTCTGAACATGTTATGCTAATAGAGGCTAAGCTCGGCAAAGCCCGTGAACAGATCGTATCCCGCATACCCGTAAGAGATCCCACCGAGCCACCAACTAATCCATGGAATAAAACAAGTTACAAAAGCTTCGGATGCACGGATAAGGGGTAAAACAAGTTATAAAAGTAATCACCACAGTATCACATCTACCAATCTTCGATCTAATAACACATGGTGCAATTGAAAATCGATTTCTAACCTATTACGGCAGATAATCCACATGGCTAAATCGTGTTTAACGGTCTCTAACCTATCCATTTAAGTTCAAGGTCCATATTCGGTACCCCTATCTCAAACATTCTCGATCTTTCTTTCACCTTGTAGCTTCCAAAGAATACTAAAAATAGTATGAAACATAATAAATCAATATATAAAGCAACTGTGCTTGATCTCTACCAGAAAACCAATTATGAGAGAAGGTAACGAAGGAACACACCAATTCAGATTCAAAGAAGGCAAGAGCTTGAAATGAGAATTTTCCGGTCTACGCTAACTACATATGATCGATCAGTCCGTCGCATCCAAAATTCGCTTACCCACCAAAAAAAAAAGTAGACCCTAACCCCGCCCCTTTTTCGCTTCATCTGTTCTTTCATCTACATTTGGTCATCTGTAAAATTAACGGCCAGATCCCAATAATGAGCAACCCCTGCATCAGAGAACACCTTCTTTGCAGCAGCTTCAGTCCTACACTGATGAACAGTGAACCTATTGAAACTCGGTTTAGCAACACTACCTTGCCACACAAGCACACACCTGTTGATTGGTGTGTCCTCGTCTTCATCACCATCATCGTCTTCATTCACCACAGATGCAGCCCAGTTTATTCGCCTGAGCATAAGCTTCCCATACCTTTTAATAGGCTTGTTGCCACCTTCCACAACCACCACACTAATGCCATCTGATATCACAGCACAACCTGTCAACCGGTTCTCCTGGGCGTTTACATCAACCTTAAAGCGGGTTTGGGGATGTGAGAGATCATTGATCTTGTAAACAGAAACAATAGTCTCCGGTGTATTTGGGTCCTCAAAGAGCTTCCTCTCTTTTTTCTCACGGCGTTCTGCTGGGGTGAGCTTGCGCGCAATATTCCTGTCAACATGAGCTTGTTCACGCTCAGCAGCTGCACTCCTTATTTCCATTTCAAGCCTTGTGGGATCCTGCGTCGCTTCAGAGCCAAGAACTTTCATAAGATTGCTCATCTTAACCTTCGGCTTTGGAGGCTCTATTAGACCTTGCCTTATCATCTCCTGCCTATCTTTTTCCTTAGCTAGACGACGCTGTGTCCGCAATTTCTTCTGCTCCTTCTTAGTCAGCTTCAGAGGTTGTGGAGGTGGTGGGGCAGGTTCAGCTGGGGGCTCAATAGGGAGTGGGTGTTCAACATAAATTGTGATCTTGTCCATTTTTAGTTTATCTTCAGTAATTTTACCTTCAATGATATCACAATAGGTTCCAGAAAGCAAAAGTGGCAGATCCCTGATTATTCAAAGCATAAATCGTAAGATAAGCATGAATAATTTGTTCATATCTTACTATCATATTAGATACAGACTGCTCAGACAAGTGAAAACTAAAAGCCAAAATTATCCTAAATTGTCCAATCATGATAAGCAAAAGCATACATACCACCACTCTACATCAGGGATTGGATCCTTTGGCTTTTCTTTAGTGACAACTCTCTCTGATACTTCTATCAGATTCGGATTGATATCAGGCTCTGCCTTTGCTTTTGCCAACTGTGCTTGCTTTGTTTTCAGCTCTTTAGCTTGTGCTTCTCCAAATTGACTCTGAAAAAAGAGTTGTGAGGATTACCCAAACAAGGAAACCATTGAAGAAAACAACCTAGCAAAATGGTCAAGTTGCTAGAGAGACCCATACCTTAAATCTAATAATCTCTGCTTGTTTTGACCATTTACCTTCCTCTACAAATTGGAATGACATCCTCTTAGGCCTCAAAAGCTTGGTCTTGTTGATGCCCATTCTTGCATCAAAATGAGGATTAGTTTCTGGATCCACATCCAGCTCTGGTTTAAGAATTTGAAATGCTTCCTTTTTCTGTTTGTTGATATTGACCTGGAAAAAATAACATAAAACAGTACTTTATCAATGAACAAGAATAGCATGCCAAGGCAACCATATGGTAGTGACCCAATCCCATCTTGGCATTGGTAGGTGGTGCAAATCCCTTCCAGTTCCCACCAAATCAACTTTTTACCTTTTCTCACTTTCTTAAAATAAATGAAACATATATAAAGCAGATAGTCAGGTGAAGTGGCAAAGAATGTAGTGCCTTATTGAAGTGAAAGAGGCAACCAAGACTGGCAAAGAATGATTTATACCTTTAAGGTACTGAGATTTGTTGGTTTAGGCATATCGACTACATTTCCATGTTCATCAATCTCCCTGCCAAGTGCATCCAAACGAAGAACAGGAACCTTGGCTGGTTTTGGCTGAACAGCAACATCTGTTGTCGTATGCCCAGGAAACATGTTTATCAAAGGCGCAAATTGTGGGTCCTGATGAAATCCCATCTTGGCAGCAAGTTCTTGGGCCCTCTTTACAGCTTCATAGTTGGGTGCTGTTAGCCCAGCAAGAGTAACCATGCCAGCCGTAGGAGGTTTCACAGATGCAGCAGGTGAAGTAGACACACCTACAGCAGCAGTGATAGGTGGTACAGATCCTTGCTGCCTCCCTATGCTTGACAATGGGGTTTTTGATGCCTCTTTGTTTAACCCTGGCTGCTGGCCACCATCCGAGCTTCCACTTTTATTTAACTGCACAACAAAAACCAAATAGGAAACAAAAAATGAAATGGTAAACAGTCTACTTGACTCCAACAGAAAGCATTATCTTTGTGTCTCAGAGAGAGAGATAGCAAGAAGATGCACTAGTGAACATACCTGTGGTATCTTCTTCAGCTTTTCAGACAATTCCTTCTGCATCTGCAAAGCTTTCTTAGCTTTTGCTAAAGCATCAAGAGACAGACTTGCACTCTTGCCAGCAGCTGAAGTTGTTCCATCTGTACTGGAGTTTCCATGAACCTCATGAGATCTGGTAATACTAACTCCCTTATTTTCATTGGTGGTAGAAATTGAAGATACCTTTGTGGCTGTGGGAAGATTGGGGACAGAATTCTCAGGCATGGCCCTTGATATCTGATTAGGTGGTTCCAAAGAAGAATCCTGCAAGAGAAAAAGTAACATAGATTAGAAAAGATAATAAAAGTGTGAAGCATGGATAAGCATATAGTAAAAGTAGCTCATCAGAGTAGTTGAGATGGCAGAAAAACAGTTGGAAATATTAAAAGCAATGAATTTGCCTTTCATTCAGTGTATACAAAAGCCCAAGGACCCTATGAAACAATTCATAGCTTTAAAAAAGTTGATAGAACAAATTATGAAAGGAAACTATCTGCTAACCACTATTTCAAACTAGCAAGATATAGTTTCGTTGAAAGGAGATTCTCAACAAGATTCACTGTGGTTTATAATGTTTGGCTGTTTGCCTATGCAATTTCAAGCTTTTCTATCAGAATGGGGAACATCAGACATTACTTACCACCCTTCACAAACATGCTCATCGTCAAATATAAATCTTCAAGGTCCTCAACTTAAAACTGAGCAATGTCCATGTGTCAAAAAAAAAACACAGATTGTATATTCATGTTAGCATACCACTGTGACAAACATCCAGCCAAATGCAAATGTTATCATACAAGTATTCTGTTATCCTTGATCAAAGAAGACAGAAAAGAAAGGGCATTTTGGCCCTCCAAATTGTTAAGAAAGTTGCATGGTCAAGCCAGAGAGTGTAAAAGAGGATGACAGGATAGCCTACAAAAAGAAGGTCAATATAAAAATGTGATGTGTCAACAGTCAACTTGGAAATAAAAGACCTGAAAGCAATGAAATACCACTAATGAATAATATAAAACCACAGGATTTGGTCAACCTTTCAGTCAGACTTTCCCTTTCTTTAAGATCAGAAATTTGTGGTTTTATTAGCATTAATAACAGAAGTTTTCCTGTTGTTTGTGTGTGTTGGAGAGGATATAACCTATGATCACCCTTTCAAGAGGTTGCTAGGCTGTGGTTCTCAAAATCAGATCCAAGTCATTGATGATTTGATGTAAGGACTTGTTGACTGAATTTTCGGTATTTCCTTGATAAATTGGTTTTTCCCCACGATCCAAGGGTATAAACCAGTAAACCACTGATACATCTTCCGTTCAGCCTCATAGATATTCTAGGCACAACTAAGGGGTTGAAGATAAAAAACCATTAAAAAAAACTTATCAAACTTTTGGGACCACAACTCCATCGTATATTACATTACAAAATTGAACACAAGATTGTTCAAAATACTAAATACATAATAAATCTTTTTTGTTATTGAGAACTTAGTTCCCGCTAAATAAATCACATAACAAGCAACTCAGTTCCAATCAACTAGTGCACTGAAACTTTATAAAGATCTTTATGAGTTGTATCATAGTTTATGCATTAGCTATTGTAGATTTTATCCTCGTTACGAAAGAAAAATACAAAAATGACAGGAAAAATTAATATATATATATATATAAGAGCATAATGTAGCTTGGCGCTTAGCAATTAAATTGTTGTTTCGACAAAATAACTTTTATCTACTTCTCTAAAGATAATGCCAATAGCATCATGCAAAAGAAGCATGGGAATGGGGGAAATATTAACAACTAACCTGAGCAATGGAATCGCTTCCACTTGGAGTAACATTGCTCTGAGCATTATTTACCTGTTCAGCCATTCCCTGTTTCTTTTCTGATGCCCCAACTGAAACGGGATGTTTTCCTTCTTCAGTAGCAATCATATCGTCTTCCTTGGCTCGATCCTCGAATCTCCGTCTCTCTCTTTTCTCTGTCCTAACACTCCCAATCAGATCTTTCTTCTCTTCTTCCTTGAATCCATCATGGGATTTCTGATCCTCTGCCCTCTCCTCCCTACTAAATCCATTCATACCCTTGGAGTCGTCGACAGCCTTCTCTCCAAATCGCCTTCTCTCTCTCCTCTCTTCTTTCGCTCCATCCGAAACTCTAACTTTCTTGTCACTCTTATCCGTCCGATCCTCGCTTCCTTCGCGCTCTTTTCTCTTGTGCGAAGAAGACGATCGTTTTTCCACCGATCCTTCCCGGAAATTCCTATCCCGGCTGCCTTCTCTCCCTTCTCTGGGTTCATGAGATCGCTCGCGCTTCGACTCATAATCCTGCAAATGGTCCTTCAATCGGCCCCGATCTCCATCTCGATGCTTCTCATCCCTGGATGAACGTTTCTCTTCTCTGTATTTATCGCTGTGGAGCCGTTCTTCGGATTCCCTCGATCGAATGTCTCTATGTTTATCACTGTGATGCCGTTCTTCGGACTCTCTCGATCGAACATCTCTGTGTTTATCACTATGGTACTGTTCTTCGGATTCCCTGGATCGACCATCTTTGGCTCGATGCTTGTGTTCACGGTCACGGTCCCTATCTCGATCTCGATGACGATCAACGTCTTTGTAATGATCTTTGGTGGAATCCCTATCTCTGTCTCTCTCCCTTTCTTCTCTGCTCTTTCTGCTCGATGCCTCTCTCTCGTGAACCCTATCCATCCTGGCTTAGGGTTTCAGGGTTCTCGATTCTTCCTGCTCTCAGTCGAGAGGAAGGCTAAAGGCCTACCCATTTTTATCCAAGAGCCTGAGAGCACTTCACATCATCTGTGTTTTAACTCGAAGGAATTGATTCCACGGTGTGCCACGTAAGAAATAGTTTCAATTTTTTTTGAGAGGTAGATGGCAACGGGGCGGGATCCCGGCTCCCGAGGTCAAAGGCCCAAAGGGGTGTATCGGGGTTCAGGGTTCAAACTATCGATGCGTATCAGCCCATATCATGTTGGTGGTTTTCTGAAATATCCTTGTATCGGGGTTCTAACCAGTTCAGGGGTGGATGAATCTTAAACCAGCCCCCTCTGAACTAGTTTTGATAAAAATTTAAAAAGAAATCAAAAAACAGTTTTGATATCATTCAATACGCCCCTATTGGCATATTAGGCGTATCAATATTTTGAACCTTAATGGGGTTTAGGACTACCAAAGCTATGCCTTTTTTTTTTCTAGACTCACCTTGAATCTCAAGCTTTTTTTTTTTTTTTGCACTGGGTTCCCATGGAAACATTTTCTATAACAACTAGGAGAAATATTCCCATTGCATGCTCAAATAGTCAAATGGGAGCCGGATCTATTCACAACAAATTACTTTGTTTATGTTTGGTATCGATGCTGCAGTTGCAACACCATTTTTTGAGAAAACGGTATTGTTTATGTGTGGTTGGAAGCACCGTTTGTCTTTATTTTTGTTTGGAATCGTTGTTGATAGGTAGGAGGTTTCCTTGAGCAACAACAACTTTTTCTATTTGGTACCAATGCTCCAGGAAATGTTTTCAGCATTGGTACCCATTATCCAATGCCATATCAGTGCTACATCACTGCCCTTTTGGCAACAAAGAGTTGCAACTCCAGGAAACGCCTAATTTGACGTTGCTCCAAGCTATGACTTCCCGATTTTTGAGGCATGACTTAGAGAATCATTTTTTCTAGAAAAACGGTTCCAAACAAATACCCATTTCCTGAAACACCATTTTTTCTGATGTAACACTGATATGACGCCGTTGCTCCAAGAAACGGCAACGATGCCAAACTGTCGCTTTTATCAACATGTTCCACACGTCATATTTAAACTTGTTAGAAAAAGTATGTTGTTGTGAGTGGATTCTAGCTCGCCCAAATGTGTTAAGAGTCCGGATCTAGTCCCAGCAATGGTGTTACATATATTTAACCACAAGCAAACATTATGAGCATGCATAAGTTCATCCCGTTAGTTTCTCCCCTATTCCTCGTGCCCAAAGCCCTTCCCATTATTTTTTTCTTGACAGCTAACTTAGTTTCAGATTTTTTTTCATTAACCTCTGGTGGATCCTAGCAATATCTCACTTACTGTGTTGGAGCTAACACATCAGATGTGGGATGCAAAAAACATGATGCGTGTTGTAGACCTTCACCATGGTTGCCATCTGATTGTCTCGATTATGCTCATGGAAAATTCATTTGAGGATTCGCTTGTCTAGACAATGCCCACTTTGAGACAGAAATGGACGTGTGTTTCTGTTAAATATTTCCCATTTTTCTCTATGTAAGGTAAAACATTTTCCTTGACATTTGCATATTAACGTTTGTTGTGTTATAGGGGTGCAATTTGGGCGGATCCAATCCCAGTCTAAACCAATCTAGCCCGCAATTTTGTATAAATTTGGCATGGACCTTATGGCCTTGGCCTGTCTTAAGCTAAAAGTCTGTTTAAGAAAAAAAAATCAGGCCAAGTTTGGACCTAGCCCTTTGATAGCCAGAATTTGGGTGGAGCCCAATCCTATCTTATCCTAATACGAGCTTGGCTTGCCTACATGCATATGCAGACACATGTTATGTTTTTGATAAACCATAGCATAGCATACATGTATATATATATATATATATATATATATATATATATATATACATTTATATTAAATTTTAATGGGCATTGATGGATTGACTCAGCCCTGGCCCAAGAAGGCCTATAAACGGAGCGAATTTGAATAGAATCAGATGATATTTGTATTCGTTCCGATTAAAGAGTAGTTGCTTTGAATTCGATTCGGTATCTGTTGAATAATAAAAAATGTAAATTGAATTCGAAATTGTTTAAAATGAGGAATGTTCAAACCGATTCGAATTTGACTGATTCTATAAATATTAGAAATCCTAAATTTATATATCAGATTACACAAGAAAAAAAAAACCTTTGTTGTAGCTTGTGAGTAAAAAAATAAATAAATAAATAAATTGTTGTGTCTTGTGAGTAAAAAAGAAAAAAAAACTCAAAATAATATAATAAGAAGAAAAGAATAGGAAAAAGCACCTGAAAAAAAAATCAAAAAATAAAAAATATATAAAGAAGTAACAAATAAAGAGATGAAAGATCTTGGATGCCTATGAAGCTAAGATTTGAATGGAATAAGTTAGAACGCCATGAAACTCATTTGTCTTCAACAAAAACCCAGTGCCCTCTCCTTTTTTTTCAACATGCTACCTCCAACTGCAAGTTTAAAAGCAGTGTAAATGAAAGAACACAACAACAAGGGGAGAGGGAGATGAGGCAGAGATAAGAATTGACCAATATGTTAGAAACATTGAGAGTTGCAAGTTATGAGATGGGGAGAAGAAATGTCTTGTCAAAGTGAAGTAGGAAGAGGGAGGGTTAATGTCTCGATGAAGAGGGATGGGTTAATGGGTGATTGCCTCAATGAAAAAAATAATATAATAATCAATTAACTGTTGTATAATTTTTTTTTCAGTTTTCTGAAAAAGGACTGTGTATATCTAATTGTCTCGATACATTTTTTATGAAAATGGTGTAAGAGTATTAAGAGTATAAGACACGTAATCCTCTCTCTCTCTAATCGAATTTGATTTTTTATCAATTGAATCAACCTATATTCTAATTCGATTTGATAAATTAATCGGTATTAAATTTTGATTTGAATTCAACCATTAAATTGATGGAATAATCCGAATTCAATTAGTTTTCCTCAGATGTCAAATTTAAAATGGATTATCAAATACCGTTTACACCCTTACTTGAGTGGATCACATTTCATTTTGAGTCAGGCCGAATTTGACTATTTGGGCTTGACCTTGGGCTCGATCCATAGGCCCAATTCATAGGGTTGGGCCTGGCTTGAGCTTAAACTTGGGGCAGCCCACGTCGACTTGCACCCCAAAACATACCATGGATTTTTATATCGAGACCCCCTGGAATTTTGATTGGTTAAAGTACAAATTCTGTATATTGTGTGTGGGGATTTAAAAGTTTTTGGTCACTTTGCAAAGCACCTCGAAGAATCAGGATAGTTGGGATCAATCAAATAAGTGGAGCAATCTTGGGCAACCACATATCAATAGTTACCACTGTTATCAACACAAGATACAACATATGATATAACAATGTTAGTGATCTAATTGCTATGAGGATGAAGGCATTGAAAGAGGTGGTCGGACCCTTGGAGGGGTTACCCACATACCCTCGAACAATGGATTAGGCCTTTGTAGTTTGTAATTTCAGCACAAATGTAGGAGAAGTATATTATTGGTGGTTTATATATATATATATAGAGAGAGAGAGAGAGTGAGAGAGATGCATGGGAAATGGATATGAAATAATAAATGGTAAAGCGAATTTGAACTTAGGTGTGGGTTACTTGGGGAATGTTTGGTATGGCTTCAGTTTATTTGAAAAAACGTATGTATTTGATTTATCTTCAAAACCAAGAAAAAGTTGTTGATAAATGTTTTTTATGTGTTATTTGGCAATTAGGTGCTAGATAATCAGACAGTAAATAAACACCTTTGTGTTCCCAAGCTCACACATAAAATGAGACAAACATTTATTTGACAATTAATCTCGCCAAATAGCATTTTGGGATAAATGCCTACATGGCGATGAACTGACACTATTTTTTCAAATAAGCAAAAGCTATACCAAACACCATCTTATTTATATATACAGCTATAATTTTCTTAGATTTTTCTTATTCACTATTTTAATTTTATCCTTGATTATTATGGAATGCCTTTTAACTGATTTTGGCACGTGTTTATTTCATTAAGATTATAATGTTATGTTTCTTAATCGATGCACATGTCTTTATTGTTATTCTAAAATGTTATATTTCTTAATTAATGCATTATGAAGCCAATCGAAGCTCTTTTTCTAGTTTGAGACAAAGAAATATCAGAGTTCATCTTGGCCACCTCACTAGGAGGGGCTTCCCATCTATGAGACAAGGGGGGTTGGCAGGGGCAGCAATGACATCTTCTTCATTTTTCTTGAAAAGAAGAGAGGTTCCACCACCATTTAGCTTTCTCCACCAAGGATACTACAGATATAGAAATGTTCTCAAAGATTAACTCATTTCTTGCATTCCAAAGCATCCAACTTGTGTTAGCAATTATAGAAGAAAGTTTGGAAATGCCAAGACTTCTTTTCTTTTCCAGCCAGTACAACAATCAGTCTATGAAGTTTGCTTGATCTTCTACTTCTTCCATTGCAATCCCTAAACCAACCCGCACAACTCTGGAATAATGACATTGAAAAATAATGTGATTTAGTGATTATGGGGCGCTATTACATCTTGGACAAGTATCTAAAACTTCTAGATGTCTTTCCTTTAGACTGTGTTTGGAAACGATGCAAATGGAGTGTAAATCCCGGTTTAGGGTAAATTTGCACTCTGGTTCACTTTTGCCTGTATTTGGCAACATTACATTTATGCATTGACAAATGAAAGAAAACATATTTTTCAATATATATTTACATTGATAATAAGATGTAAAAGTACATCAATAAAAAAATAAGTAAATTTGCATTCAAGTGGGCTTTTGATAAAAAGGCGTATGTTATATTGGAATTTGTATTTGCATCCATTACAGCTAAAAGTCTGTTTGGTAAGAAGGTAAATTTGTCAGTGCAAAACTAACCCAACTTTACAATTTATATGGACCGCTTTACACTCTACATATTTGCATTCACACTTATTAGCATCATTTCCAAACGCAACCTTAGCTTAACCAAGGTTGGGAGAGCATTGTGACAACATCTCCAATTGAACATTCTAATTTTGGGCACGACCTCAATCTTCCAAATCTGCCTCCATGGCAGCTGATTTAAAGAATGCCCATTTGAGTTTGACCCAACAGAAGAGCTTTGTAAAGCCAAATAATATGCTGATCGAACAGTAAATTCATCTATTTTCGACCAACCCCAAACTATCTAATCCTTATCCATTGATCAGCTTAGGTGAATTCTCTAAATTGCCTCACACTCTGCTTGTTGGAACAATGATCTTAAGAGTTGAACCTTCCAGGTTCTTGACCTTTGATTTATAAGATCACTAACTATGGCTATATCGTAGTTCTCTGGTCGGGCTGATTGGATTTTGAAATTTGGCAAATTTTTCCCTTGGGTCTTCCCAAATATTGATAGTGGAGTCATCTCCCACCGGCCAAATAATACCTTTTAATAACAGATATCTGCATTTTAGCAAGCTTCTCTAAGCCCAAGAGGGACAAGAACCTAAGGTTGTGTTTGGTTTGAAGGAAAAAGTAGGGAAATGAAGGAAAAGGTAAGGAAACCTTTATAAACCTTGTATAGGTTTCTCACCTTTCCCTTCCTTTCCCTACATTTTCTTTCAAACCAAACATAGCCTAATGGGTCTTGAAAAAAAGGAAGAACGAGGATAATATATATTCTTTAGCACTTTTACACATAAATAATGCCTCTTCATGTTGAAATATATTCCATGCTACTTTTGCTAAGAGGGCAAAATTGAACTCTTCCATGTGCTTAAAGCCTAGTCAGCTTTGGGTTTACACAACTTTGACCAAATAATCCAATGAATTTTATGTTCCCCTATTTTTTGACCACACATAAAGTTTGCCATAAAACTATTAAGGTTTTTGCAAAGATCTTTTGGGAGCTTAAACCGAAGCATTGTATAAATGGGAGAAGCAAAAGCATTTGCCTTAATCATAAACTCCCTACTAAAGAAAGCAATATTGAAAACTTTGGAGTCACATTTGTGAAAATTTTTTATTTATTTCTTCGAAAGGGAATGGGCTTAGGTATTAGGTTTTGCACACTCGATAGGTATCTTATACTTTAGGCCGAGTGACAATTTAACACTCAAACTTTAAAACGTGACAATCTAGTACCCAAACTTTCGAAATGCGACAACTTAGTACCTGCTATTAACCAGTCGTTAAGTATCATGGGAAAAGACGCAAATGCCCTTCAAGTGTCATCTAATTTTCTTTATCAACCATTTGCAACCTGTAAGCCTATAAGTATGCATCAACTATAGAGAGGGAGGCCGAGCACCTACAGATAGTTGAACCATTGACCCAAAAACCGGTGGCCATAACAGCTCCAGTCTTGCGAAGGTTCTCATATTGTACTTTGCATGAACTACAAGCAGTCTATAAAGTTTTGAGGCTTGGGCTGGTCATGAGATGAAGTTTTAGTATAGTTATGATAGCCATTGGCTATGGGCTTCTGAACTGTCGTAGAGTTTGTCTTAACGACATTTGCTAAGGATGGTTTGTTTCTCCTTTAATCATAAGAGGATCTTTTACCACTGTTTGATAAGAGAGTCAACGCTTCATATACAAGCTTGAATGCCCCATCAGCACCTACAGTTTTAATATGGTCAGGGTGAAGCATCAACGCCAGTTTCCTGTACTGTTTCCTAATTGCATATTCATATACAGATGGATTTAATCCAAGAACTGCATAGAAATCAATTTTCCCATTGATTTGAATTTCCTAAGCAACATAAACGTCAAATGTGACAAGCATTTGAGAGATGCCATCTAATTCTGGATACAATTTTTGGGCCTTATTAGGCTTGAGCTCAGCTTGTTTAATAAACAAGCCTGTAAATTGGGCTCGAGCTCAGCTCGAAGCTTGGTTGAAATCAAGCTGAGCCAAGCTCGAGTAGCTCGTGAAGAGCTTGGCTCGTGGCCACCCCTAGTTCAAAGGAGCATTGAATAGCCTCAAACACCTGACCCTAGAAACCCTATTTCCCAACCATAGCGATGGAAACGGAAGGGTAAACGTACAACTAATAATGGAAATTTATATTGACCACATCCATTAAATTTAGGACTTTTAGGGTCAAGTTCGGAGTGAATTGCAGAATAAACACCACATTTCTAGGGTTTATATTCTAAAACAAAGATGGTCTGGACTATTGAGAACTTGGGTTCTGTTTCATTTTCTTGAGAAAGAAGATGATGAACAACGTGTTTTATTTTTAAGGGTAATTTTGACATTTTCAAAAGTCTTAAATCACACACGAGGTCATGTGATATACATAATTGACGGTTCATTAACGATAGGTACTAGATTATTGCATTTCAAAAATTTGGGTACTAAATTGTCGCGTTTTAAAGTTCAAGTACTAAATTGGCACTTAGCCTAAAGTATAGGGCACCTATCGTGAATTTTCCCCTAAAATATACATGTCATCGTCTTATGTTGTTGGGACTATATTAGCATTTGATGTATTGTGAGGCGCGCTTTAGGGGAGCAAATCCAAACTCCCTCGATAGCCCAAGAATTCAAAGAGACCGGATATTCTCCTCATACAGGGCGCCTCACACGCATATCCWACCATGCATTGAGAAAACCTTGTATTCACGGGAGATGTGAGGAGCATATCCCATTCGGAATTCAGATTGCTCTGACAAACACTCCCAAGTGTCAATACTATCCCAACATGCCATTGCATCCTTACATTTGGAGCATCTCCCTTGAATAGCAGATCCCTATCATTGAACCCATTGGTTGTTCGACCAATTACTAATTATGATCCATATCATATGCCAATAAATTACGTATGTGACACCACACATCTTATACACGACGTCTTCCAATAGTAGGTTCCAATCGCGCGGTGTCAGGTCTTGTTGGCAGGAAATCGCGCGGTTTCAATCCGAATCGGCTCTCACACCTAACGCCTCACAGGCGCCTCACACGCACATGATAGGAACATGTCTCGTATTTATTAATTATTATTCACGAAAAATGTTTCCAATGCACGGTGGATGTGCATATGAGGCGCTCATGTGTGAGGAGCAGATCCCGTCCCTTAAGCGAGGCCGGTTTCTGGCCAAGCTAGGCTCTGTGGCCGATGGACTGAACGAGTAACAGCCCGAATATATTAATAAGACAGTCACTTGGTCGGCAATCTCTCCACTCCCGACGAAGAAGGGAAGGAGCTTGTTTATTCTTCGTAAAATCTGCTCGGTTCGTTAGTGATTATAGCTTATTCGTCATTTGTCAAATCGTTCGATTAATTTAATTTAACATGGAATCCATGGAAGCTTTGATCACTCAAATACAAGGGCTTTCGGGTAGCGTGGAGGATATATCTCATCTTCACAATCTCTTGAAACTGACCGAGGAATCTCTCCAATCTGAGGCGCCACGATTAGCTTCTTTCTTGGGGCAGCTCGACCCCGCTAAACAATCTCTTGGCTATCTCTATATCCTGTAAGTTGCTTTCCTTCTTTTACCAAAGAAAAAAAAAGTTGTTTTCCTTCCAAACTCTCCCGCATTTGTACTTCCTGCTACATTGTGTTTTTCTTTTATCCTCTTTGAATTATGGGGTTTTACGCGTTTTGTCCGGATCTTCGTGATATCCGATTACTTCTAGTCTTATTGGAAGTGAGTTTTGATGCATCGACATTTTAACAAACTAATTGGGTTAACTATGGAATGGGTTTTGTTCCTTTGATAGCGTAAAGAAGTGCATGGAGCACATTATAGTCCTGTTTCTGTTAAATTTTAAATGGATGAACCTTTCTTTCCGTTCAGTTGGATATGGAATCGTTACGTTGCTGAATTTTGTGTTTTGACTTTCTTTAAAGTTTTCGAGTCGATTTTTGGTTGACTCGTTTTGTAAGCACCAGTCATGTTATTCTAAGGTTATGGTACCTTAAAGAGCATGGTCTTATGCCCTTGATGATATGGCATTATAATTAAGTCATATAAGCAGAGAATTATTGTTTGAAGAAGTGATACCGGTTGTGATGATTCCGAACTCGATACATGTAATATTGGTACAAAGTAATCTACTTTTTTATCATGGTAGACCTACTATAGCTGGATTTGTAGCCTAAATATGAATAATCATTTGGGGTTGTAAACGGTATTGCTTCAGTTCCATTCTTCGTTGCTGTATAAAAATTTGGCTTCTTAGTTCTCGCCTTTATTCATGTTTCTGTGACCTTCTTTTTTTCCTAAGAAATTGCAACAATAAATATGTGTTTGGAAAGAAAAGGAAAAGTTGAGAAAATCATTGGATATAAATGAATCCATGTATATATTCAGCTCTGTTATCTGGTTATTTGATCAAGCTGTATACTTTTCTGGTGTTTGTGGTTTGACAGGGAGGCATATACTTCTGCTCCAATATCAAGAGAGCAACCTAGTGAATTCATTATGTCCGTCTCTACCTTTATCAATTCTTGTTTAGCAGAGCAGATACGTTTGGCAGCTGATAAATGTATTCTACTGTTCACAACAAAGTAAATTTGTTCACCATTGTCAGATTTCCTAATGCTCCTAATTGGTCTAAGGATTGATTTCTTATAAATGCAGTTGTATCTGTTTGCAAGAGGTTCAAGGATCAAGTTGTGCTGCTTCAAGAACCATTACGGGGTGTAGCTCCCATGCGTACAGCTGTACAAAAGCTTCGGTCTTCTTCTGAACATTTAACTGCTTTGCATCCGGATTTTCTCCTTCTTTGTTTATTGGCAAAGAGCTATAAAACTGGATTAGGCATTTTGAAGGAGGATATTTTTGAGATTGATCAACCGAGGGACTTCTTCCTATATTGCTATTATGGGTAATATCTCTAGTTTTTTCTACATCGCTATTATGGGTAACTGTTAGTTTTGTTGCCTTGTTTATTATAATATATAATTTGTGCCAGGAAATCACCTTTGAGAAAGTGTTGTCTAAAGTTTTCATGAACCCAACTTTTTAAAAAGTAGAGTTATGTATAACATGCAACAGATGAAACAAGGAAATTTTGTTGTTATTCATAAAACAAATGATACTTCACTTTTCAAGGCATTTCCTTATTTGAAACAGTAAAAATCTGCTGAACTCAAAAAAATATGAACAGAAAAGTGGTTTCTTGAAGAGAGAAGGAGAAGAAGAGATCTTGAAAGAAAAGAGAGCCATAATCTGGCCGCCCCCTTCACTTATTATTTATACTAAAAATAATAGAGCAATACAAAGACAACTATGCCCTTATAGGGCGGTAAAACATAAAACAACATATATAAGACTAAAAAACATAATAAAATTTGGACTCACATAACTACTGTGGTCCCCACCACATATTTAACAACTAATATAAAACATCTACTCAGAAAAACAACACAAAATTGATTAATCTTTAACACTCCCCCTCAAGTTGGGAGTAAATGTCACACATTCCCAACTTGCGTAGATCATGTTCAAGCTTGTTTTTTGCCACCCCTTTAGTGAGAACATCAGCCAAATGCAACTCTGAAGAGACATAAGGCAAATAGACTTCTCCGGCTGTTACCCTTTCTCTTATGAAGTGTCTATCAACTTCAATGTGTTTTGTCCTGTCATGCTGAATTGGATTGTGGGCAATATTGATTGCAGCCTGATTGTCACAATACAACATCATAGGTTCCTCTACTTTCACCCCAATTTCACTCAAAAGAGATTTAACCCAAAGAAGTTCTGAGACACCATGGGCCATGGATCTATACTCAACTTCTACACTAAACCTTGCCACAACCGCTTGCTTCTTACTCATCAAGGAGATCAAGTTTCCACCTACAAAGGTACAAACTCCTGATGTAGACCTCCTGTTATCTAAGCATCCTGCCCAGTCTGCATCTGTATAGGATTCTAGCTTCAGATTCTCATGATTTGAGAAAAGAATGCCTTTGCCAGGGTGCTTTTTCAGATATGCAAGTATTCTCTCAATAGCTTCCTAGTGCTGAACTCGAGGTGCATGCATGTACTGACTCACAAMACCGACAACATAAGAAATATCTGGTCATGTCATACACAAATATAGCAGTCAGCCCACCATTCTTTGATATCTCCCCACATCTTTTACCAACCCACCATCCACATCATTAATTCTGTGATTTGGATCAATAGGAGTTTCTGTTGGTTTGATCCCCAGCTTCCCAGTCTCCCGTAGTAGGTCAAAAACATACTTTCTCTGTGAGATGAAGATCCCATGCTTGGATCTTGCAATTTCAATTCCTAAGAAGTATTTAAGCTCACCAAGATCTTTGATCTCAAATTCTTGCTGCAATGATTTTTTGAGATTATCGATCTCCTCCAGATCATTTCCTGTAACTACTATATCATCCACATACACAATCACAATTGACAGCAGAGCATCTCTCTTCTTTACAAAGAGGGTGTGATCAGACTAGGTTTGAGTGTATCCAAAACGGATAAATGCCCCTCTTAACCTGTCAAACCAAGCCCTAGGTGACTATTTTAGGCCATACAGAGATTTTCTGAGTTTGCACACCTTTCATTTACCAACATTTTCTTAAAAGCCTACTGGAATGTCCATATATACCTCCTCCTGTAAATCACCATTGAGAAAAGCATTTTTGACATCAAGCTGAAACAAGGGCCATGAATAGGTGGCTGCCAGAGATAAAAGGATACGAACTGAACTCATTTAGCTACCGCTGCAAAGGTTTCTAGATAATCAACATCATAGGTCTGAGTATACCCTTTCGCTACCAACCTTGCCTTGTACCTCTCTATCTTGCCATCGGCCTTATACTTCACTGTGAATACCCATCTACATCCGACTGTCTCCTTCTTTGGGGGAAGATCAACTATTTCCCAAGTTTGGTTTTTAACCAAGGCTTCCATCTCTTATTGTGTGGTTGTTTTCCACTCAGGTTTGGAGAGAGCCTCAATAACATTCCTGGGTATAGACATAGAATCCAGGGAAGAAAGGAAAGCACGGTGGGAGGGTGACAAGGCACTGTAGGAAAGATGGTGTGAAATGCAATGGGCATACACTTTCTCTTCCCTTTATGAAGTGCAATGAGAAGATCAAGGTCAGTGGGATTAGCTGCAGCAGTGGTGTTAGGTACAGGAAAAAGTAACGGTATCCTTCCATGGAAGGGATGATTATCGTGCATAATCATCCACAAACAAGAAAAAGTAACGGTATCCTTCCATGGAAGGGATATAATATGGCCCCCATACATATGTATGAACAATATTAAAAGCAAAAGTACTTCTTTTATTACTTGGTTTAAAAGACTGTGTACAATGCTTTCCTAACTGTCAACTCTCACACTCCAAGGTAGATAACTGAACAGACTCAAACAACTTGGGGAAAAGAAATTTCAAAGAACTAAAAGAAAGATGTCCCAAGCGATTGTGCCAAAGCATAATCTGGTTCACTGACTCTGACCCATTACTACTGTTGCTGCTAACATGATGGTCCTGATGTCTCGGAATCTCATCTAGAAGGTAGACTCCATTCACCTCACAACCACTCCCAATCATCTTCTTTGACTCCAGATCCTGCAAAACACAATTACCAGGAAGAAAGGTCACGGAACAATTCAAACTTTTTGTTAAAGAACTAACGGAAAGTAGGTTGTTATGAAGTATAGGGACATGTAAAACAAAAGATAAAGTTATATCATTGGTTACTCTAACTGTCCCCTTCCCAGCAATGGGAATATGTGAACCATCCGCTGTAGAGACTCTATCTCTACCAGAGTACAACTGATAAGAACTGAAAATGGTAGGGGCATTAGTCATGTGCTCAGATGCTCCTGAGTTTATAATCTAGGAAGATCCCTCCTTACCTGAAGTGGATGCAAGATTTGCAGTTGCATATGAACTACCTGTATGTGCAAAAGAAGTGGTGTAGTTGGCTCCTACATTTTGCTGTCCATCTGGAAGGCCAAAGCTAGGTGAATCTTTCTTACTCATAAGCTGTCCAAACCTCTCTAGTTATGTTCTCACTACTGCTACTGCAATGGATTCCCAATCAGTTTGGGAAAGAGGGGCTAAAGAGTCTCCTGTAGTGACCACATTTGCATTTCTCTTCTTGTTCCTTATTCGGGCAAGCATAATATTTGGATGAAGCTTCCAACAAGTGTCCTTGGTATGCTTAGGCTTCTTACAATAATCACACACCAAGTCCTTATCTTCCCTTCTAGTCTCACTACACCCCCTGTCTCCATTCGGCTTAGGTTTTTGGTTGTACTAACCATAGCCGACTGGTTAATCTCAGGCTATCTCAGCATTACATTCCTCCTATTCTCCTCTCCAGAGACAAAGGCATAGGCTTGAAAGAGTGTCACACCCTCCCTAGAAAGAATATGCTGCTTAGCAATGCCAAATTTAGGGTTCAACTCTGCCAAGAACTCAAAAACCCTATTCCTCTCTACTAGTTTGTGATAGGTTGTTGCATCATTTACCCTTTCCCATGCTACAACTTCTAAGTGATCTATTTCCTACCAAAGGGTTTTTAGCATGAAGAAATACACAACAAGGGGTTTTTCTCCCTGTTTCATATTTATCATCTGATTCCTTAACTGATAGGCTCTGGCTTCATTTTGCTTTTGAGAGTAGGTTTTAGTCACTACATCCCAAATCTCCTTAGCAGTATTAGCCCATAGGAAATTTTTTTGCAATATGAGGTAACAGAGAATTATACAGCCAGGACATTACCATGTAATTCTCCTGCACCCATCGGGAAGAGTCTGTATCAGGTTTCTTCTCCTCCCTAGTGATGTACCCTAATTTTCCACGGGCACCAATAATCATTTTGGCTGATTGTGCCCACTCTAAATAATTTGTACCATCAAATTTTACTGTAGTAATGATTCCAGACCCAAAAATATCATTACTACCTCCAACACCTAGTCCCACAGTACCGGTGGATTTCACCTCGGTTCCAATTCTCCATCTTACTTTAAACAGTTCAACAGTAAGAAAAAAAAAATAGATTGGAGACCTTTCAAAAACAATTTAATATCACACACACGGAAACCAACCCTTCTGGAAGAAGAAAACCCTATCCGGAGAGAAATCTCTCTCCTCCCCACGCCTCCTAATAGAGAGAAGAGTGAATCAATCACTCCAGGAGGCTCAAAAAATTCCAGAAACTTAACCACCTTCTTTAGAATATCAAAAGAAAACTAACAATACCTGGCTGTCCAAGATCATATAAAAAAAAGAGTCCAACTTTTCTGGGACTCTTTTTTTTGGTAATCGAAATAATTTTATTAATTAGCAATAGACAATAGTACAAAGTCTCCAAGGAAAGGCACGAGTTGCAACCTCTCCGGGCTAGTTAAGTACAGATTTCCAAATTAATAACAACTTACATAGAAGCACAAAAAAGATCTTCCCTAGAAACCCCCTGTTTGGCTAAAGCATTAGCCAAAGAAT